AATGACTGAAATCCTCTGTTTTTAGGGATAATGAATAAACAACTTGAAATAAGATTTTAAAATTAAAATGGACGAGAGTGTTGTTTAAATTAGAACTTAAACTAGCCAAATTTCCAGTTTAACAAATGGGAAATTACTCAAATCTGGCAACTATGTGCTTCACAGGGCTTCCTGAGTGTGTCATTGCAAGAACTTTCCCTGGAGAGTGAAGAGAACACATATTTTGAGGTCAACAATATTGCATTTATATGGAAAATTTTCAAGAGATTTGACAAAGTCTAAAATGTCAGCATCACAGAAGATGTACCATGGTGCTTCCGGAAAAGTAAAATAATTTCTTAATGTAATAGTCCCCCACCCAGAGAAAAGGGGGGGGAGCGGGGAAGTTCTTTGGGGAAAAATTAAAATATATTGTAGAAAACTTCAGATGATACATATTTTGGAAATTATAGAATGGTAGAATCAGAAGCACATATGGTGAAATACTGGAGAGAGAGAGAAAGAGTGAGAATATGGAAGATATAGATAGATAGATAGATAGATAGATAGATAGATAGATAGATAGATAGATAGATTAAACATATAAACATCCTTATAAAGGGGAAAAAAGAGGTGATATGTCTTATTTTAGGCATCTCTGGTGGCCTAGAGGCAAGGAACAGTGATGCAATCCTGAAGGCATGAGGTTCAAATCCACCAGCTGCTCTGTGGGAGAAGGATGGGCAGTCTCCTCCCATACGATTCCTGCCTCTGAAAACCTGCTGGAGGGTCAGTCATGGGTCGATTCTAACTCTAAGGTACACAACACCAACATGTGTTCTTTTATACCTTTGCAGGATGCAAGGGTCTTTCAGGTTTCTTAATTTCATTCAAATAGAAATATTTCCACTTTTTAATGTAGATAATTATCATGCAAAAGGAGAAAGAGAAAGCTGATAATGAATACTACGCAGAAAGACAGCAAAATTATAAACCCCAACCTATTCACAGAAAAAGCTTTAATCTCACACTCATGCATATCTCTGTGTGCTTATCATTGAATCAAAGCATGCGGTCAAAAGCCAAAATGATACCTTAAAAAAGTTCCAGCGTTTAAAACAAAACACATTTATAAAATATACATACATGAAGAAGATTTACTTATATCATGAAATAAATGCAGTGCTGTGAGATGAAAGCAGCCTATTACTATGGCAATGGGGTCAGGTATGTCAGAGGCAATGAGGTCGGTTCAAGACAGGCCAAGGATCAGGCAGCGCTTTTGTTCATGGGGTCAGTAGGAGTCAGTCTACTTGACGGCACGTAACAACAGCATTTACAAAAGGAGGTTTGCCTTTCTCCCCCTCCATTGCAACCGACTTTAACCTGCTGGATTGTATCTCCACAGTTATGTGAGTAATCTTTTCTCCTCTCTATTCAGCTCACATTGCGGGCTGTTCAGCAGATGCCTGAGATTCTGGAGATTTAAATCTCGGGTGCAAGTTTGTTCTCTGTTTCCGCAGTTTTTTTTTTTTCAGGAGCTTCTCTCAATAAAATTGTTTCCTGCGGCTTGAAGTACCTTCTGTCTTCTTAATCAGCAAGGACTAGATTAAAAAAGTAGCTTCCTGAAGGTGTTTTCTTCATACCTCTCATTGTTGGGGTTGGGTGATACTCAGCTAAAAACAGTCTAGCTGGAGTGGATTTATTGTTGTTCGTCCATTATTTCATGTTGGGCAATTGATTGTGCTTCTGTTGTAATTTTGTGGCCAATTCCTGCGATCTCTTTTTTTTTTTTCAATTGTAACTTCTTCTGTTGGATTTTTATTCTTAATAATTAGAAGTAAATTTTCCCAACAATGCCACATCCTTTAAACAATATTTATGATATTAAAATTCTATGTGTTGTTAAATGCCATCGAGTATACTGTGACTCACAGCAACAATGAACTCCTATGAACAATGGGTCTGAGCCTTGCGCTGTTGGGTGCTTTCTTCATCATCTCTGCCGCCCAATAGCCTATTGCTGGTCACTGAGTCAATCTGTCTCATTGAGGGTCTTCCCCACCTTCGTTGACCTTCCACCTTTCCAAGCATGATGTCCTGTTCCAAGGACTGGTCCTCCCACTCAACAACATGGCCCAACTATGTGAGATATAAAGATTGACCATCCTTCTTTCTACGGACCACTCTAACATCACCCTCTTCAAGCACTGTCATCTTGACGGTCCATGGAATATGGAATAGTCTTTTCCAACACCACAGCTCTGCTCCCAGACAAACTAAGGCCTGTTAGCACAGCTCCTGCCACAGTGTGTGGTTCACCATCTACGGGTAGACAACTTCCAGTGACCACTGCCGTCTTAATAGAGTTGCTTGCTTGAGGATCTGTGACAAGCTGATGAACAATAAGATCATAGCTTTTAACAAAGTCTCATCACTGTCACTTTCAGAAAATACCTCAAGGGGACATCGAAACGAATGGAAAAATCCATTTGACTTTTCAACTTAACATACGTTCAAAATCATAATTTCTGCTTTGAGTCACGGCGCTAGATAAGGCCACTTCTTTCATTAAGTGTATAAATCCTTGAGCAATAAGTATTCTTGTTATTGAAAATTTCAATTTGACCTATAAATCCAGTTTGAATCTGTGGACTCCTTGCAATTTGCTTAAATTCTGGATTTACCTTTGCTAAAAGAGAATCTCCCTCACAGAAGAGATACTGGTTTTGTACCTTGTCATCTTCTGTTTTTATTTCTATCATTTTCCTAGTTTCCCCATCACCACAGACATTTTAGTCTCACAAATGGAACCAAAAAATGCCTCCTAGAAAATTCACAGTCACCACCGCTGACCGTCAAGCTACCCTTTGGAACCATCTGTTCAGCTCTCTCATTTCATCAGTTCTTCCTTTTGCTTTAGCTTCTCTCCAATAAGCAGCGTGTTTCAGAAGCTCCTCTGAATCTGTTTCTGTCAGTTCTTTATTTTCTGGTTTTTTCTATTTCTTTCTCCTTCTTCTTGTAAGATGCCTTTTTCATGCTATCCCATAACTCATCTGGTCTTTAGTCATTAGGATTCAATGTATCAAAGCTGTTCTTACGATGGTTTCTAAGTTCAGGTTATATTCAGAGTTGTATTTGTTACTCTCTTAAACTTGTTTGTTTTTTTTAAAAAACTTGTTTTCATTTTCTTGATATTCTTGATATCCTCCCACAGCTCATCTGGTCTTCACTTGTTCATGTTCAAAGCCTCAAACCTGTTGTTGAGATGGTTTTGAAATTCAGGTGGGATAGACTCAAGGTCATATTTTGGTTCCCATGGATTTGATTTCATTTTCCTCAGCTTCAGCTTGAACTTGCATTTGAGTAGTTGGTGTTTTCCACAATCAGCACCTGGCCTCATTTTCACAACTGATAGTGAGCTTCTCCAGCGATTTGTGGAAACACAAATGTAATCGATCTGATTCCTATGCATACCATCAGGTGAAATCCATTTGTATAGCCTGCATTTGTGTTTCTTATAAAACGTATTTGCAATGAGTAAGTCATTGATTGTGTAAAATTCTATCATTCTATCTCTAGCTTCATTTCTGTCACCAAATCTATGTTTTCCCATTACTGATCCTTGTTTTCCAATTACTGATCTTTCTTCTCTGTTTCAAACTTTTTCATTCCAGTCACCATTATTATTAATGCATTTTGATTGCATGTTCGATCACTCTCTGACTGCAAAAGTTGGTAGAAATCTGTTTTTCAGTGGCTAATTTTTCAGAAATAATTTCCCAAGCCTTTTTCCTGAAGTACCTCTGCACTGAATCAAACCATCAAACTTTCTGTGAGACTTAGAGTGACCCATACGGGGATCGAACCCCTCAACCTTGGCGTTATTAGCACCACAATAACAAACTGAGGTAACCAGGCACAAGCATACCACCACCAAATTTTCTGAAACTGAGAGTTTAGCTATTTGTGTTACTCAGAGACTCTTCCAAGTTCAATCTCAGGGGAAAATAATTTAGAAACATCTGATCTTCACTCCTCAAATTCTATTTATTAATTTGTTGTTGTTGTTGTGTGCCACTGAGTCAGAACCAACCCATAGCAGACCCTCCGGTGAGCTTTCATAGACACTAATTGCATGCGAGTAAGTGGTCTCAAACTGCATGCCTTCAGGATTGCGGGCAGAATCTTACCAGGAGGCATATTAAGTATGTATGAATAATCTGTAGGGTACTTTTGGTTTGTGAGTTACAGATTATCTGGTCGAGTATGTAAAACTCAAGCAAATCACCAATAGGTAAGTATTTTTAGTGTGTCTTATGCATAAATGTGAAAAAAAGTTATAATATTTTAAGTGGATATGTGTAGTACATATTTATATTCAACATTGTAATCGTACTCTTTATGGAGAACTTATTATGGCCATAAGTTTGTCGTTTATTATTTTACTAATTTTGTAAGAAATTCTATAATGAATCAGTGTTCGTGTTATCTGTATAAGGAAACTAAGATCCATTCAACATTATTCTAAGGAGAAAGGATGGGATTATGATACTACCTAAGACCTTTCCAAATCCAAATACTTTCTGTTTTCTATACTAATCTACTAATTACTGAACTATACTAATTGTTGAACTTGGAGCAGCTTCATACAGGAGACAGGGAGCAATTCTCATCTCTTGCTCCTAATATTCTAGGGAGCACAATCTCTGTTTTATATGTCTTTGTAACACCCCAGAATTTGCCCTATATTTTCACCAAGTTGATATAAAATAAATGGAAGGATTAATATCTACCAAAAAAAGTGATAAGGCTATCACGTGATTTTTTTTTTTTTTTTTTTAGCAAGTAGGCATAGAGACCAGAAAGTATTTCTTTCAGTATCAACATCTAACATAGCCTCTTTCTTCCTGGTAAACTCTCCTTCATGCCAGCCAAGTACATAACAAGCCTCATGAATGAATGCGTTGGGACAGGGAGGGTCAGCATCACTGTCACACATGGAAATCACAAATGTCCACATGAAGCTGGCCGAGAACATGATGAGAGCAACAGCTCAGTTACCAGAAAATCTCTTCTGGGGAAATTGGTATTTCAAAAAGAAAACATCAAAGTAATTACCGTGATAATGTAAGTCTTGTTGAACATTTTTAAGTGTTTATTTGTAGTGTGGGACTTGTTCACCAATGCTTTTCATTTCAAGGAGGAGAGTGAGAAAGGCCCCAGACAGGGTGTGAGCCGTACTGATTCAAATGTGTGGGGCCTCTTGTATTTCTAAAGTAGCTTTCCTCTTCTGGAGAGAAGCCTACTGCTTACCACGAATCATAAATCATAGTAGTTGCTTAATAAATCACTAGTTATTTACAATTCTCTCTTAAGAAGGGAGCTCTGGTAGCCAAGTGGTAAGGAGCCACCTTGCCAAGCCCAAGGTTCAAATCGATCAGCTGCTCCACAGGAGAAAGACAGGTGATATCCTTCCCTGAGATTTCCTTTTTCTGAAAATCTACTGGATGGTACAGAACAGCAATGGTAATTATTAATGATTATCACAGTTTAATTGATCATCAGATATGTGGTGGTGGTGGTGGTGGTGGGTGGTTAGGTGCCATTGAGTTAAGTACTGCTCATAGCAATTGTATGGCTAGCCAATCTAAAGTCTGTCCTTTCCTGTAACACCCTCATCCTGTCTGACACTCTTGAGCCCATTGCTGAAGTCACTGTGTCTTTCCATCTTGTTGGAGGTTGACCTCTCCTTCACCAGCCCTCCATCTTTCCAAGCATGGTGGCATTTTCCAAGGAATAGTCTCACTTGGATGTCCAAAGGATGAAAGACGACACTTCACCACCTTTGCTTCCAAGGAGCCCGCTGTCTGCACTTTTTCCAAGATACATCTGGTTTTTCTTTTGGCAGTCCGTGGGATATTCAGCACTATTCACCAACACTGCAACTCGAAGACATCAAATCTTCTGATGTCACAATTCATTGTCCACCTCTCTTATGCATGGTAGGTGGTTGAGAAGACCGTGGCCTGAATCAGGCACACCATAGTCTTCAAACTGACGTCATTGCTTCTCAAAATTCTGGAGAGCTCCCTGACAGGGGACTTTCTAAAGGCAATTTTTCTTTGGATTTCCTGGCTGCAGGTGCCAAGGACGTTAATTGCAGATCCAAGTAAGATGAAGTCATAACTTCAATCCTTTCTCCATCACCTAATGTTCACTGTGGATCCTGCAGTGAGGGCCTTTGCTTTCTTGACGGTACTTTGTAATCCATATTGAAGACTGTAGTCATCGATCTTCTGCAGCAAGTGTTTTATATATTCCTCACTTCTGGCCAACAGAGCAGAGCCATCTGCACAATGCGGCTTGTTGTTAAATCTTGCTCCAGTCCTGATGCCACGTCCTTCTTCATAGTGTCTGGCCTAGCAAATTGTTTGCTCAGCATTCAGGTTGAATAGACATAGAGAAAGTACCCAATTCTCACACATCTTTTTCCTGGTTTTAAAGGATTTTGCAGTGTGCCTTCCTTCAGATAACCGCTTCTTAGTCTTGGTATAGATTCCGTATGAGCACAAGTGTTCAGGGACTCCCATTCATCTTAATCTTAGCCATCATTTCTTAGGATCCACACAGTCCAATGCCTTTGAGTCATCCAAAACACACAAATAGACATTCTTGTGGAATTCTCTGCTTTCAACCAGCATTCTTCTGACATCAGCAATGATATCCTTGGTGCCGTGACCTCCCTAAAACCACCTTTAACTTCTGGAAATTCCCTGTCAATGTACTGCTCTGGTCTTTTTTTTCTTAACTGATTTTCAACAATATTTTGCTTACAAGACATATTAATTATATTATTCAATAATTTTCACAACCTATTGGTTCACCTTTCTATTCATTCTTAAGAACAACTCTGCAGTATGCCCTTGTTTCACCTATTTTGGACCAAGAACTTTTGCTTTCTCCATTTTAACAAATACCAAGTTTTTAAATTAACTTTAAAATAATGTAAGTTGCTGGGAGGTCATTCCAGATGCCTAAGACTCCGCTTCTTCATTAGGTAAACCAGGAAATGAAATTAGAATATATGGGAGAGGCTCTCCATCCCTACTTTTCTACAGTTCTGAGCTATGGTTTAAGAAATAAAATGTGAAAGTCTAGGAATTAAGAATTATGTCAACAGAATTAGAAAGTCGACCAATGTTAAAGGTGATATACGTTTCTCTACGCATTCGCAGAGTCTCTGGCTCTTAAGTAAATAGAAACCTGAATCACTTTTATAGAAGGACAGAGCAGTGTTTGCGAAGAAACTAAGTTCAACTTTCCCTCAAGATGCTCATGAATTTGGCAGGCTGATTGTGTTTATGTTTCAAGAAGAAATGAAGCCAAAGCTCTCCGAAGTACATTGAAACATTGCTTCCCAACCCTCGTATTCCTGCCACTAGCAAGTGAATTACTGTTTGAACAGTCGATTAGATGAAGGATTTTAGAGGAGTGCAGTTGTGTCTTTGTGGACTGGACTCACAAACAGCAAGCTGTGCCTTTATCACTTCCCCGGGAAGGTGTGACGTTTCTGACGCGGTGGGATCTACATCGGCCATGCTTTATGTCAGCAGAAAAAAATCAGAGAAATTATTTCCTCCCTAACAAAGAAGGAAATAAGAGAGACCAGGGTAGATGCATCATTAATACTGTTGACTTGACTTAAAGGAGCAAACAAAAGATAGAAAAAAATCAGGATTTCTCGGTGCATGAGGAATTTCCAGCGTGAAGCCAATTTGAAAAACACTAGCATATACTTCATGGACTCTCACCTAACACTGGACACACTTACAGAATGTGGCACAACAAAAATTAAAATTTTGAGTTCTGCATAATTATTATTGCGTGCTGTTGAGTCAAAAATGACTCCTAGCAGGGACAAGCTCCTCCTGTACCAGTCAGATCTGATTTGACGGTACACGCACACAAAAATAAGTAAAATAAAATAAAATTTAAAAAAAAAATGACTCCTAGCGACCCTGTAAACCTAATAGACCTGAACCCTGTTCCGCTCTGTGTCAACCTCACAATCTCTGATACACTCGAGCCCACACGGGTGATCATGTGTCAGTGAAACTCTTTGAGGGTCTCCTTTCCATCTTTAGCCGTCCCTCCACCTCTCCAAGCGTGATCACCTCTCCAAGGAATAAACTCTCCTAGCAACATTCCCAAACTAAGTGAATGAAGCCTCACTACCCTTGCTTCCCGGGAATAATCTGATTTCATCCTCACCGAAGCATGTTTGCTCTCTAGGCTGACCATGAGACATTCGGTACTCTCCTCCAATATCAAAACTCAAAAACATTTCTTCTTCGGTCATCCTTCTTCATTGTCCAGCTCTCAGATGCATAGCAGACAATTGAAAAGACCATGATCTGAATCAGGTTCACCTTAGTCCTCAAACTAATGTCATTGCTCTTCAGTAATTCGGAGAGATCCCTGACTGTAGACTTTCCCAGTGCAGTGTGTCTCATGATCACTAACTGCTGGTGTCAAGTCTAATTACTGTGGATCCAAGTAATATGAAGTCATTGACCGTTTCAATCTTTTTTCTATCAATCAGGATGCCACTTATTGGATGACATCTGCATTAATTGTGTAACAAAATGACATAGAATTATAAAATTATGTAAAATAGCACAGAATCATCTTGTGTTCAGAAAATTAGCCCCTCTTAACAACAATCCCAAAGTAAGTAAAGTGAAGCCTCATAATCCTTGCCCCCAAAAAGCACTCTGGCTGCAACCTCTCAAGACATATTTGTTCGTTCTTTCGGCCGCCCATGGAATGTTCAACGCTCTTCTCCAAAACCACAGTTCAAAGGTATCAATTTATCTTCTGTCATCCTTATTTCATTGTCCAGCTCTCAGATGCATACAAAGTTATCACAAAGATCATGGCCTGAATCAGACACACTTTAGTCCTCAAACTGACATTATTACTCCTTAGTAATTTGGAGAGGTCTCTAACTGCAGACTTTACCAGTGCAGTATGTCTCCTGATTTCCTGACTGCTTGTACCAACGGTGTTAATTATGGATCCAAGTAAATTGAAGTTGTTAGCAGTCTCAGTCTTTTCTCCATCTCTCATATCCATCTATCAGTCCAGTGGTAAGAATCTTTGTTTTCTTGACATTGAGATGGAATCCATATTGCAGACTCTGTTCTTTGATTTTCTGTAACAAGTGCTTCAAGTCCTCCTGACTTTCAGCAAGCAAGGTTGTGTCATCTGCATAACACCGGTTATTGATGCGTCTCCGATCCTAATACCACATTCCTCTTCACAGTTCAGAGTACTTTTTTTTAAAATTGTTGTGTTGTCAGAACTGATGTATAGCTGACCCTCTAGCATATTTTCAGGGTCTACACGTCACGCAGTAGGAAATTGTTCGCCTTCTCCTTTGAAGCAGGTGATGGATATGCATCTCCTACCTTTGGGCCATCTTCCTTCAGGTAGACCTCATTCACCCGTTGACTCCAGCCCCGTGTGTTTGTGGCTTAGAGAAAGCAAGGCTTGGCAATTTTTACCTTTGCTCCCCTTTGATGCCTCCTCCTCTGGAGCTAAATGTGGAGCATAAGCAGCGCAGATCCAGGCTGGACACCACGTTCTGCTGAGACATCACCTCACTGTGTCAGCCGTGCCTCACCTGGCCCGCCTCCCACACAGGGGCTCGACTTGTCAGGCCGTCACTGCCCTCGGGCGCGCCCTGCACTGGGATTTTCCATACGTCTGGTTTGCTGTAAGAGCACAGACTCTGAGCCTCTGGAAGACAGTCCAGGAGCAGAAGCTCAGAGATAAGAATTTTCCTCCAGAAACACCGAGAGAGAAAAACTTTCCCCTCGACCTGGTGCCTGAGATTTCAACTTGAGAGACTTTTAAACTGAGACTTAGCTCTTAGTTTGTTATATTGGGGAGATAATCTGCATAGTGATAATGATTTTATCACCTAAGGATCCATTTTATTGTTGTTGCTATGTGCCGTCGAGTTGCCTGAGACTCATAGCAACCCTATGTACAACAGCCCTGCTCTTTCCTGTGCCAACCTCA